ATATACAATGAACAAAGGTAACGGAAATTATTCACAAAATTTGCATCACAATATACTACAATAAGATACATTGTAACTCTAGGATCAAATGAAAATGATTTTAAGCCAATTTCCCTCTTAATTTATTTTATTTTATTATAATCAAGTAATTAGCTTGGGTAAAATAAATACGTAAAGCGACTGTCCGCGTTCTGGAACCTCTTTCTACCTCATTTTAGGTCGAATACGAGGACGATTCCGGCCGCGTAGGAATTGCTTGAGGTGAGAAGTTTGACAATTGATATAAAAAGTCTCAAATGCATGATTCTAGGTGTATACCAGAAATGATTTGTTTTAAAATACTTCATATACTTTACTAGTTTGCTCTGTCAATAAATATCAAACCTGACTGTTCTTTGTGCTAACCAATTGTAAAATTTAGGTTTTGAATATGACTCCCCTGCATCTGCTGTTACATGTTCTGTACCAACTGCATGTATCGTATGAGGCGACTAATGTTTGAACTCCTTACAGAGTCGTGGATTCGTTTATGTGCACTCTACTTGGGGACACAAACGCGACCAAAATATACCTGCTTTTTGCACCCATTGCAATATTTGGAATCTTTATATTTCTTTGTGCTTCTAAACACCTTTGATTTCCTAGCGCCTCAATTGGCAACACCTCACATTGGGCATTAATGTTGATCGTTCGCCCAGGTGAGGAATACAATGGGTTCTGTTGCCAGGCCGGGACATACCGAAGTCCTTAACAATGGTACTGTAGTTAACGTTGTTATTCCCTGCTTAATATTCAATATAATGTAATCGGGCGGAATGGTGTGCTGGGTGCCTTTTGCCTGGTGTTTCAGTGAGATAGCACTATAAAGTCGGCATCAGATCCGCGCTATCACAAGGCAAGTACACCAACACACCCTGTCTCCGGCACACACATTGAGACAGGTCCTTAAATTACTTAAGCTGTTCATAATGTTTAACGAAATAAAACTAAACTATGAATATGGTACTGCTTTGCGGATGATAACTGTAAAGGAGAATTACCAAGTCAAAGGGAGACAACAGTGTAACCATGTTCCATAGTTCAATACGTTACTAGTAAAACTGGAAGAAAGTTTAACAAAACGCTGATTACTATCTATAGCTAACGTACACCTCTGTTGTATAATGAATGGCACGATTGTTGATAAAAATGGTCAGTTGAGGTAGAAATACACCTAATATTTAGCTATTTTACGACTAATATTTTTACTAGATACATGTACCTTTAAGAACAATCAAAGAAGAAAGTAAAATAATAAGGAACATGTACATGTAAAAATGTAGATAACATCTCTGTTATGATCAAAAACGATTTTCATTTGGCTGAGATCCAACTACTGTTTTGTTTTTAAACTTTCATCATTTACCATGAGTTCGGTCTCAAAAGAAATTTCAGTTCTGTCTGGAGGTTAAAAATAAAATATGAAGGACAATGATAATACTAATATAGCGAATGAAAAGAAAATATGTCGGTTGAAAAACGCTCATACATATATGTACATGTAACGCAACCGACAGAATACGTTTATTACACATTGTAGGCCCAGTATTTACGATATAATACATGTATGAACGTACATGAAGAAGTAATATATTCATGCTTCACATCAATGTTCATTATCAATATTTGTTAACTTTTGTGCCTTTATTCATACCGTCATTACATTAATGTATGTATGTCAAGGTCGTTAAGCATCGATCGTCAATGTGTATTGAAATATGAGGTATTGAAAACATACAATGTAACAATTGCAATAAGTTTTTATTGTTTAAAGGTAGTGATCAATTGCACTGTGATATTACATACAAATAAGCTGTGAATTTGTAGGATTACTGCCATGGTAACAATGTTTGAACATCCAGCCACTGCTGTGCGTCTTATTCTGCAAGTACAGTTACAAAGTGTATATATCTTTGTACATGTACAGTACGCATACAACAAATGTACATGTAGTTGTGCTATATTGTGTACATGCACATGTTGTTTCTGTAGCTGTGCATTTTTTCTTCATCATGTACGTGTAGTCACAGTAGCTGTGGATATTCTGTTCTATAGGACATCGGGGTCGTGACCGAAGGGTTGTGGGTTCGAGTCACGTCTCGACACTGTGTTGTAATTTGAACAAGACACTTAATTCCGCCTGTTCCAGTTTACTCAGCTGTAATGAGTACGTGGTTGGGAAGTGCAGGAATTTGTTGAATGCTAGCAATGAGCGCCTTAATGGCAGCACCGGCTATATGCTCCCCAGGGGGCTGAGAAAGAGTTTACATCCACATGTATATACCTGCAAGCATTGCACTGTAGCTATGCAATACTATAGGTCTCTTTCATATGTACCGGAGGAGGAAAGAGAGTTCCTCCAGAGGGCATCATAACCTGGGGTTTACCCCAATTATGATCCCCGAGCGCGGAATTCTCTATCCACCAACCGTTATTTATGAAAGAGTATTTTTCTCTCATATCTTCCATTAAAAACATATACTTCACCTCTCAATGCCCACAGACGGTCGCTATCTTCCATTTTTTTTTTTTACATACTTTCTCCTTGGTTAAAAACTCTATGGTTTAGTGGTTATTCAACTTTCTATTTTCCATACGGCATTTTGTACGCACCATCTTTGAATCTCATCGCTACTTACCGTACATCTCATACAGCGGGCAGAAAAAGATAGTTCCTAGTTAAAAAAGAAAAGAAATTATGTTTTTGTTGTCAAGTTTTTAATTCATGACTGATCAGATAATTATTAAAAATGAAATCATAGATACAAGACATTATTACCCATTTGAGAAAAATCTAGGAATCTGATTGGTTAAAAACTACAGTGTACCAAACCTTATTCGTAAATCTCAGGGGGTATACGGTCATGTCACGTGATTCTCAGCAGTAATACGATGGAATCACGTGATTTTACAAGGGGTATACGGGTCACGTGTCTTTGTATCTTGCGGCCGGGCATCGGGAGACAACTCGCATTCGACGTCTGCTTCGCTGTTTACAAAATGGCAAAACGTTTCGCTTCGCATATACTGATGAGGAAATACTCGCCAAAAAGGGCTAACTATGTGCCACATAACACACAAAAGTCGAACAGACGAGCGTCAAACATGCTGAGAACGTATTTAAAAGAAAAGAATCAGGAAGAAAAGTTCCAGGAATACTGTGCCTGTTATTTTTCTTTGCTTTTATTATAAAAGACACAAAGGGGTAATAAATTCGTTACACAGATTTTTGGCATGGTATACGGGATGGTATGGTCCTACAAGATTTCGTATTTCCTTCGGCCTATCGGCCTCAGGAAATACGAAACCCTTTAGGACCATACCATCCCTGCCAAAAATCCGTGTAACTAATAGTAAACAGTATAACCACGTGTCTTTGTTTATGTTAACGGTACACATACATGTAGCAGACGACATAAGTTGTTGTCATTGGGAGTTGCTCCCCTTAGTTTTTGTATTAGTATGCGATGTGATTAGCCCATGTATGACCGGATATGAGGGATATGTATGTCCATTGCGAGCCACTTTTCTTTGCTAACACTTCCCAGATACGAAAACAAATTAAATCAACGCCCGAAAATTAATTGAGAAAGCTTGCCCTTCAACGTAACTTGTTAAACGACCATACACCATAAACAAACACCTGCATGCCTATTAGCTTTATTGAGGACAACGATTACCTTCGCTTCGTGACTGGTCCAGCAAGCTACATCATTTGTTAAGCACAGAGTTCGCAAATTCTCTACATTGTTGATGGCTTTTACAGATTTCTTCACACAAACAAAATTCAATTTTTATAAAATGTAGATATATTTGATATCTCTACCCAAAGGTACATTTTGTGTATGTCAGTCTCACCTTATTCGCTGCTAATTCTGATTGAGAGCATTGCAGTTTCCTACTGAATTATCGGGTTGAATTGGCATAGTGTGCCCGAACTAATACAGTGGAAAATAAGATTAATTATTAGCAATTACTGTAGTTGAAGCTAATGGATTTTTATACGTATATGTTAACGAAAGACTGGAATTTGACAATTTTGAAGTATTTAATTACAAATAAAACTTTTTTTCTGAAGTGTTAAAAAACAAATTCTGCTTTTTTAAAAAAAAATTGTGTTTAGCGGTAAAAGAATAAAAATATCTTCTAATTACAGAATACTTTCTCCAATGTTAAATCTTATCAAAACATCAATTCCCATAGACTTAATATTGATACCATCTAGAGATTACAGAATACGTTCTCTCATAGACGGCACTATTAAATATGTATATAATCATACACTTTCCCATGGACTTAACATTAACGCTTAGAGATTACGTATTACGTTGACCCGTAGACGCCAATGATATATATAATTCCCCATAGATTATAATCTTCAACACAACAGGAATTAAAGAATTGCATTCTCTTCCGATAACACGAAAAAAATAATTTTAAAACAATTACAAAACAATATGCCTTCCTCGGAGATATTTATGTCAAAAGTTAAGTTAACAAAATAATTGTTCTTATTAATGTTAAGACTATGAAGATTACATATTGATTTAATTGTTCGTGCATAAAATTGAATATGTTGTTACATGTATTGTTATTGTACACTTTGTAGTATTTTGCTGTCCTATATATGGTAATGATAATTGTAACATTATACGGTCTCCAGGTTTTATATTGAAGTACTAAGTAAACTGCCATTTTAGAATATTAAATGATAAATAAGATACCATCAAATAAACAGGGTAATATACCTTTGGTTCCTTTAAACAAAAAAATCAACAAAATATCTTAATGAAACTTCCATATGTTATTTGTATATCAGCCAATATTTGTGTTGGGGAAATATCAAAATATATTTATAGTTCGTTATGTTATTACTGTGTGTACAATGAAAAAAAATAGCACACACATGTACATGTACACGTACAGACAGTCGACAAAGATTATTTGAGTTAAAGTGTTGGAGCCATAAGGTATATTCAATGGAGTGCATTTCCTTGCAGTGTTTCGAACTGCTGCAGATGAATAAAATATAGTAAAACTATAACACAGTTCCTCAGCAGTAAGAATTGTGCCAAGTAGCGAAGCTTTCTGCCCAGTATTGGCTTCTATGTAGAGAATAAACTTACGTAACTCTCCCTTTGATAATAATCATGTCCACATATGATATGCACCAAATCACCGAGTTTTAAATTCCTAACATTAAGCTCACCCATTCATAAACAAAAAAATAAAAAATAAATGTTTATATATTATTCCCTCTATCCATCCTCTCCTCCAAGAACGCTACAGTTTCGTTTCTTTGCACATATACTAACAAGCACTACTGTTGTGTTCAGTGTTATCCTCGCGTGCCATTTAGTATGAACATCGCAACTGACATGCTTCCCATGTTTTCCACCGATACACAGCACATCCTCTGTCACATTGTATTTGCACTAATTAGAAATAATTTTATTAGAGTATTTTCGGTATAGAACTTTATAATCGTTTTCCTTCCGGGAACACGATGATCCAGTAAATTATATAACGGCAGTCCGCCATATGCATCGAGAACTGCATTCTGGGAAAGTTTACAAAGTCGTTTAAGAATGTTAAAAGCTATCATATTTGTAGACACGAATATATGCCGGTTCGTTCCTTGGATCAGAATTCGTGTAACGGTTCAGAAACGGATAATTTCATCTCGTTCGATATCCGTACACGTATATTGTCACAAAAATGTTTATAGTATTTGGTCAAATTGTAGTTCAAACACACGTTCCGAAATCTGTTCACATGTCAGATTCTGTAATTCGTGTCGACGCCCCGCCATAACCACCGGGGCCGCAGCCATTCGTAAGGAACGTATGTCGATGAAAACTTCCGGGTTTCTTTTCTGGACCACAACACGCTGTGATCCGGAACGTGTTGATGAACTCGTGTCTGAAATGTCTCGCGGTCATCAGGTAAATGAATATGTTGCACGAATACTGTGACAATCCGATAGTGTCGATGATGGTCTTAGCCGTGTACCACGAGAAATAGTCCCGCCATTGAGGGTCAACGTGCATCTCATACACTGGAATATCATACGATCCTTCTGGAACACTGAACTGTAACGCAAACAAAATGGCCACCGGAAGTGTCGTAAATATTCTATAAAATGATATACACAGTAGCGTTACTGTAGATGGCGCTATTTTTGAGCGTCGTGACGACGATCGTACAGAATCATTTTCCTGATGACAAGTGGATTCTCTACGCAGTTTCGTTGCTTTAGCCGCAACTCTAAGAACAAAAATATTTAGAAAGAAGGTGGCGATTGGAACAACACAGAATAGTAGTACATCCGTAATCCATGTCCAATACTCAAAAAACTTGGTTTCGGACCCACCACATACCGAGTTTTTGAACACCCAGCCGTGGGCCTGGGGTAGGGACAATGCGAAGGCGAATACCGCTATAGCAATAATTTCCTTTGGTGCTCGGTGATGACGAGAAAATCGTTCACTTTTAAATGGTCTGACAATAGACACGAATCGTTCCGTCGTGAATCCAAACACGAGCAACGGGCTCATGTACTGAGCGAACATGTAAAAGACGAAGAATGTGGGACACCATATAGGGACGTCGATCGTCGGAAGTCCCCACGTGAAATGGAGGTAGCGTTGTATGTAGAGGAACAACAACAGCAGGTCGGTGGACGCCAGCGCTGTCAGGTACAACGCAGAGGTATTGATATGTTTCATCCGCCGATGCGACCAAATTTTCATTGTGATTATATTTCCCACAAACCCAATCACTAACCACATAGGCGTAACGTAACGATCCAGGAATGAGGCTAGCGGCGTGTTGATGACACTGATACAAAGGAACCAGTTCCAGTTGGGGCTGGTATAGTTGTCTGTCCGGGGACAAGGGCCTTTCAGCCATTCTGGTGTGGCATTGTCGTGGTAACTGTAACCAGGAGCCGACGCCATGCTTGCGTTCGTCATCTCTATCAGCCTCATAGCAGATTATACATCATGACACAGTTCTGGAAAATACAAGCAATGCACGAAATCAGATCAACATGTATGATGGTTGTAGAACATATATGAAAAGTTAAAAAAAAACAAGAATGTTTAAGTACAGTAATAGATACAATCAGTGCCATCTGGCTTACGATATCGCCCACGATCTGGTATAATTGTAGTAGTGACATACAAACACGTATATACGACAATGCAGCCGTGATATTATCATAATGCAGATGCCATAGTTTAGCTTCACACGCCAATCAGTTAAGACTGGGTGTCGATGATAATATCGATGAAACAAAGAAAAAACGTTATCACCAACAGTGTTCTGAATGCAAACAAAATCTGCTGGGATAGACTTAGATTCGATCCTTGGAACTCAGATGTACAATGTCGCTCTGACCTACTAAGCTACGTTGTCAACGACAGAGCCATGTCAAATATTCGATGCGGTTTTACAGATTGCTGAATAAACGGGAAAACAAACCCAACTGAATTCTCTAATGATTTGTCTGCAATGGGACGGATCTCGTTATCAGTTGTGTATCTTGTGGCTGCGTGGAGATTGAGGCTAGTATCAAATACAAATATACAGCATCTAAACACATTGTGACAAGTATAAAAAAACAACGAAAGCATTACGTGTGACATTTAGGTGTATAGATCACTGCAGTGTTTGCCCTTCTCGAGAGAAATGCTGACTGTCCCGAGCGACCTGTTTGTAGGGGGCGGACAGTTTGTGATAGTAACAATTGTCTGCCGTTGCGTAGGTGATCTATGGTGCGTGTACATCACTTTACAAATGTCACTCGGACATCGTATTCGCATGACGTAATATTCTAATACTGGTATTGGTAATGATCTCGTATGTTCTAATTTATTTGGCGTTGATATCATTAGCTTAATATATTAGTCTTGATAATGGAACATTCTAGCAATACCGAATATTAACAGGGATTGAGGTAACAGACGGAGCTAATGTCACTTGGGACCGCCAGGATTTACTCATGAACTAAAGTTACATTGACATCTGTCCAGCGCTCTCTGATTCCGTCAACAACATAATGCCGAGGGCTTTGAGCTGTGTCTATATAATAATGCCAAAAGAAAGGCATTGGCGGACAACGGAATTTGGACCAGGGGAGTATCTCTGTCTATAACTATATTCATCGACGAAGTTCGGGAATGAGACCGAGGGATTTGCCTGTCTAGAAATGAAGTGCTAAACATTGAACACATTGCCATTCCTATACACTAACCGGCCGTTTGCACAGACACCCAAACAATGACCAACGGAATAGCATCTGTAAGGGAATGGAACTGTTCCAATTCAAATCTTCTTGTGCTAGTGCGAATATGAGGTATTGCCACAAAGTAGAATAATAAGATGTAAATATGTTCCACACGCATGTCATTACCATATGCTCTCTAGAATTAATTTACTATTGGGCATGAAGAAAAGTTTGACTATACATGAAGAAGAAAAGATGCGTATTAGAAGCGAAATGAAGACATTGAAAGGGTTTCGTCTTTTCGCAGTGAAAAAGCGAAAACTAAGAAATATAACGGACAGAGATTTAACGAAAATACAAAATGGCACAAATCATTTACGACAATGAAGCTTTTTCTCAATAGGTTTGGTTACGTTTCAGACCATGAGAACGTTCCTGTTCGAGATACGACGGTTTGTAACGTGTTAAAGAGACACATTCCATCTTTTACTTCGACACATCTTTATCATTCAGGTCTTTTAGATGTTTCGATATTACTTTTGCTAGTTATTTCATAATTGTGTTTACACGCAACGATTTCCATTGATACTTTATGACTTGTCTTGTCACCTCAAACGAACATTAAACATATACAACAATCCATTTCTTTTCAAGCATCCAAACGATCTGCTAGAACGGCAATGCATTTAAGAAGATGCTATAGACTAAAGAATCATTTCGCGACTAAGGCCTTAGTTTCTATGCTTATGATTACACACACCGGTTCGTAAGGACGTTGCCTTATACGATTCATGAAAGTAGAAAGGACCAATTAGAATTATTTAAGACAACATGGTGCTTTTTAGGCGTAACTAAGGTACATATATCAACATTATGCAATACATTGTTTTGTTCAGGTGTATATACATATGCATGTTTTATTTCGCAGTATACAATGCAATACACAGGTTAATCTCGTTATACTGCCACCCTTTGTCACGATAAATCATGACGTTATAAAGAGGTTTGGCGATGGATTGAAGGAAACATATATAATCAAACTAAGTAATAGAGAATCAAAGGACGTTGATATATGTTGGCGGTAAGTGAGGTGGCAAATGAAGAGGCATTATTATTTTTTGATGATGATGCTGATGATGTTTGTCAATGTGGATGGATGATGATGATGATGATGATATGATGATGATGATGATGATTGTACAGAGGATGATGAGGATGAGGATAAGGACGATGCTTTTCATTTTGTATAAATGATGATGAATGAGAAACGTGTGCTTCTGTCTACAATATTTTTTTTAATGTAATAACGACGCAAAAAATTCCCAAATTTTCGAATCTAGAGTTATACATTATATGATTATATAAACACATGCTGATTATAGCTTTTCTACACATGTTCCACACATTCAAATTTAATCTTATGTGTGTATTGTTTTCGTCTATAGTGACTATATGCATTTAGAGTGACATAGGTAAACTAATTATTTAAATAAAAGTTTTTGTTTACACATGGAAAAGCCAAATGTAACCTCGTTTTCATTTTACAAAAAGCTGCGCGCAATATTGACAATAGTGTGGCGCCTATATCCAGTGGTCCTATGATTTATCATGGATGTGTGTGACAACCATTAGATATAAACACGCATGCGTAAACCTTCACTTGACAAAAACAAACGTATCCAAGACTAGTCGCACATAGCTCTCTTGTTTGGCATAATTCCAATACTAGAGAGGTTTTTGTGTGAAACGTGCTTAGTAAATTGTGTCAAACAGAACATAAACGTGCGTCTATTGCCCAGTTGAAGTTTAAAAAACATAGCTTCGAAAAATTGCAAGTAAAATAATTATATGTGTTAAAACAGAAAACTATAATAGGAATTGGTCGGTCTCGGACGGACTTGTGACGAACGCTCTAACAGTGAGAGGTTATTTCCTCTTGAGTTACAGGCGCATGACAAAACAGCTGTTAACATAATATAATATCTCTCGAAAATTTTGTCAACAGTTTTAATGGGTATTCATTTGCTCGCATTAACTAGTCATTGGAAGTGAGAATCATACAACGTATATGAGTTGTGAAACTTCGTACGAGGTTTGTTTCACTATATCTGCCCATGCGAGTAACCCTTGTAAACATTTATTACTTTACATGTACGTATCCGGTTCGATCTGTTGCGATGATTTATACATTGTCCATTACTTTTTACATCCAATAAAGCATGCAACGTTCTATTTTCCCGGACTCGTCACAATTTTAAGCTAATTTCGTATCACAGCTGAAATAACTATTTTCGACCAGTCTTACCAAAATAAGGTAGGACGTCTGCATATTTGACATTGATAAATGGAATGTTTCAGAAATGACATATTACGTAATACAGCTTCAGCAGCCCTGTTCCTTCTGTCGCAGTAAAATTGACAAATGTATCAATATAAATATAATTTTCATTTAAAGAAATAAAAGCGATAAATACGGAAAAGTTTGGGCCTGATATATGCGTCTCCATGGCAACGGCTTAAAGGGTGAGAATCTGTTCCCGAGATGAACAAATTTGTAATATAGAGAAAGTATGGCAAAATGTTACTCGAACAAAGTATTGTATACAAGTTGTGAACCGTTGCACCAGACTTAATGTCTTCATGTGAAACTTTGATCGACCCTCACATTCCTTCATCCTTTCATACAAGCAAGCAAATAAATAAGCAATACCTCCATGTAAATCTCGACTTAAGTTTTATCAGAATTCGCTGCCTCTGAGAATCCGTCATGAGGACTGAAATCAGGATATCCATCAATGTCCTAAAAACGAAGCCTAGATGATACCAGAATGCGATGAATCGTATCAACCTCTTTGACAAATCTGGATGAGGTTAACTTAAAACCCTGACTGCAATAATAAGATTAACAAATAAAGTAAAACATTAATAACTCTCTCCCACATCTCCGACAGGATAAGTAAAAAAGCAACATCGGCGTAATCGAAAACGTCATTCATTCGTCCAAGCGAAAACATTTACTTGACGTTTGGGTATATCTGTGTTCAATAAACAAAATACCTTTTGATACATGACACGAGGCAGTGTGTGTATTCATTACGATATCGGAAATATTTTCTGTTTCCTTCACTGATAAAATTACACCAATGTCATCAATAAAACAACTTGTCAAGTATTCTGCAATTTCATTTAATTTCAAATCAATTTTATTGTACTAAAAAAAAACACAATTGGATTTGGCACAGGCATTGCCTATAACAGCCCTTTCCAGAGAAAATACACACATTTCATACATTCATATATACATGTACATATATATATGGAGCAAAGAAGTAATTTCAACAGTGTGGACAAGTTTAGGTTGTCAAAGTTTCGGAGCGATCCGCTCCTTTTTCAAGACACAGTGAAACAGAACAGTTACATGTACATATACATCATATTACAAGAAGATATAACTGATATACTTTATATATATATATAGAGAGAGTATTATAGAGAAGATGTAGTATATGTTCGAATCGATAGGAGAATCCTAGAACCATTTAATACATGTTCACAGAAAATAATATCTTGGATATCATAGATTTTANCGATAGGAGAATCCTAGAACCATATAATACATGTTCACAGAAAATAATATCTTGGATATCATAGATTTTAACATTTCAATTTATATAGTCTATTTACTTCAATTATTAATAGCCTTGTGCTTGGTTGGAGGCACTTCAAAGACACTGTCACTATACACAGTGCCATCCTTCCCAATTACATCAGAGTTATTGTTATAA